CTCTCCAAGCATCAATGATATGTTGAAAATATGCGAAAGAGGAGTACAAAGGGACGAAGCGCATTTTTTAAAAACAATTTGCGGGATACCATCGTACGTTTCAGTAGAGGAAGCTCTCAATTTGATTAAGATCCTCCGGATTTCAGAGGGATTGAAGTAGACAGTAGAAAGGCAGTGATGAACAGTGGGAACTGTAGAGAATTCCGAAGGCACAATATGATCATCGTGAGAGAACACATCGGCGAAATAGCGAGCTAAGGCATGCGATTTATCTACGTCTGTACTAAAGGTTTTCCCATTCCGGTCGGAAATAGCAGAGAAATGACGGCTTAATTTCAGTTTTCGATTACTATACTGAAAGAAAGATTTCGACGAAGCTTTCATAGCCAATCTGTGTTCGTATGTTTTCAAGAATCTCTTTAAGTGATAATCCACATCTTTGCATACCTTCTTATACATAGAGTTCATCAAAGGGTTGACCAGAGAGTTGAATAAACGTTCTTTCTGAGCTAAAAGCTTCCGTATCTGTGAGGGGTAGTCTTGGCGGGGCTGTTCAAGAAATTTGAACGGCACAAATTTTGCAAGTGCACCGTATATTGTCACACAAAAACGGTAGTATACGTCATCTGCTGATTCATACTGGTCAAATATAGCCAACCAATCAATGGCTTCGAAATATCTATTGAGAGAAATATAGTCGACTTTTCGAAAATCATGTTGGCAGAGGAATGTGACTGGTCAATTTCATAGAGACTAAAAATTCGACTATACGATGATCGGAATTTGCAAGAGGAGGCATAGTGCGCGCGTCCGAGACAATAGGTGAGGACGAAAACACGAGATTGAGAACATGGGAGCGGTGTGTTGGTTCTGTTACAAACTGCTTTAAACTAGAGTTGCGGAAAAACTAAGAGGTTGAGGTTCGGGCCAACTTATCTGTAGATTAAAATCTCCCAAAACTATTGTCTTTTCGTATTCGCTAACAAAATTACACAACAATTCGATTACTTTTTCATCACTTGTATATGAGTGAGCTATGTGCGGGACGGTAAACCGCTAAAAAGCGTAACCAGGTAGGCTCACGTGAAGAGGATATGTCGACGCATAGGATATTTGACATTGTACTATTGTCAATAATGCAAGATTTAACTAGAAGAGTACTTTTTGCTAAGCAGCAGACTCCACCGCCTCTGCGGCTATGTCTGTCTACACGCAAAATTATATAAGGAAGATTTCCTATAACTTCACTATCACTAATTTTTCCCGTAAGCCATGTCTCCGTAACAAAAACTATATCAGGCTTGTGCTCTGACAGAAATGATTGTAAATGATGCATTTTCTTTACTAAACTTCTTCTAGCATTCAGTAGAAAAACTTTGATTGTTTCTTTCTTTTGCAGCTCACCATGCACTTTTACGCGTTTTCCGATCTCCTCTTGGGTAGGTCAGAAACGCGCACTAATTCATTCTTGTAAATTACCCATTCCTTGCTCGTTTTCCCTTTATTTCTCTCACGGGCAATTTGGCGCAGCTCGAACTCGCGCCTTCGCTCCTCCTCCGTCATGCTTCTTCGTATAAAAACGCTAGAATAACCAGCATGACGGAGAAGGTGAGCGTTCGCCAATGCCCTCCGCCAATAAAAGGTGAAGGGCATGACTACTTTCATCGAACGCGAGTTCGAGCTGCTCGCTTTACCAATCCAAAACACCTCCGAAGGGGTGCAGTCTACATCAAGAGCGTCGAAAATATCATCCACCTTATTTTGGAGATATTTTCGACGCTCTATAACTCCTGTAAGTAACTTAGTCTCTTGCACATTTCTATAACTCCTGCAAGTAACTTTCAAAAATTTTGCGACCCATTCTCGGGGGGGGGGGGGAGGGGGGGGGCCCTCGCCTCCTCCCTCGGTACGCCACTGAACCATCTCTATTTTTATCACTATTGCTCGAATGGCAAGTTGACTAGAGCTTTTCTTGAAAAAGTATTGCACATCTTTGTAAGAATGGCAAGACCTTTTGCATCACAAATTATAAGAAAGCAAGAACATAACGGGCGACCTTAATTTGTACGCAATCCAACAGCAACCTCTCCGAATGAGACTATACTCAGAAATGGTCCAATGAACATACCAGTAGAATTTTTTTGCATGATAAAATGACTTCAAATGGCAGACATCTTGCAAAACTTGATTGAGAGGTAAATGCGCTAGTATCAGTTGTACTTTTTACACCTTTAGACAAAGGGAGCTGTTTGGAAAAACGAGACTGCCCTTTCAAAAGGTGGCAGAAAGTCATGAGGCACTGCAAAAAATGTTATTAACTGATATATGATAAGAAATGTTTTATTTTTGACAAGATTGATGCTAAAGGTGACTGATTTCTCTCATAGAATGGAAGACGAGTTGATAAAAATGCAATAATCTCTCAACACAATTTTTGCCAAACCACAAGCCTTTTATCTAGGCTATTCAACACCCTTTCTGACATGTGCAGAAGGTTTGGCTTATAGATAAGCAGCAAAACTGCCTTTTGTGTCAAACAAACCGAAAGACTTTACGATAGTGAGCCGCACTTTCAAAACTTAAAGAGGGTTTTCTCGAAAATGCGACCCTTGTTTGTGTGTAACAACACTCAGATCAAAGGCACCATCATAAGTGGAGGGTGTTGAGCTTTCGGCGGCATATAATAGTAGGGCCCCCCCATCAATCCAATTCCCAAGTCGTGGCATAAAATGCCGCTTCGGAAGAAAGAAAATCGCTTCGGAATAGCGAAGACGCATTGTCGACGTTTTCGACATTCTCGACTTCATATCAGGAACCAGGGACATGAGAAGGCCCTGCAACGACAAAAACATGTAAGTCGAATATCTGGGTGGACGGTGCCTTTAACGTCCTCCGTGCCAGAGTTGAGCAATAGGTTAGATTTAGAGTGAGTTTCAGCTCAATTTAGGCGGAAGTTGGACTGGCGGGAATCTGCTTAGCAACGATTCACGCCGTTTTGCAATCCGCGTCTCTTCATTCAAAATCTCGCAGCGGTGGCGGTGCGGAGGCGCTACTCCACTTGAGAGGTTTTGCTTACTCCGAATTGAAATAGACCGTCCGCCCTTTTAAAACGATTTCCCCCCTCTCCGAACACCCAAATAAGCGACCCCTCCTTCCCAGTTCTCACCTCTGTAATCTAATGTTGTCGCACGGAGAAAAACAAGTCTGCAGTGGCAATTTTTTTCTCGTGAAAGCGGTAAAGTCAGCATAATTGACTGTGAATTTTTTCTTAAGATGAGTTTTATTTAAGAACCACAGCATTCTCAAAAAAAGAGGGTTTGGAATCAACTACTGCGGAAGCAGATTTTAAGCTTGCTACCCATAGCGAGCTATTTCCGGACTTTGAAAAATTAAGCAGGTCAGGCATAAGTGCAGCAAAAGCTCAGGCAGAGTGACCTTTCAAGGGTAGTGCTTGACCCCATTAAACTTGTATCCAAGGCAGACACGAAAAGCGTAAACAACGCAGAAAAAATATCAGTGTTCGTGCCCTGTCAGATATATAATGTAAGAGATGAAATGCAAAACGGCGACCATGAAGATAGGTAATGTCGTGCCTGTGCTAATCGCGTCATAGAAGTAGATACAGTCTCTTTCAACCCGGAGTAGACGAAACACCAAGTATAGCAGCGCGTCCTCACCGCCGCTGGCTCACCGAGATATTAAACTCAAGAGACGCAGACTGCAAAATGGCGCGAATCGTTGCGAAGTGGACTTCCGCAGTACAATTTCGGCCTAGACTGAGTTGGAACTTACTATATACAGTCTATCAATGCGTATTGATTTTTTCTACCGTGCGTCTAAATTCGCGCGCCCGCTCTGCAAGGTTCTGCGGCGGGTGGAGAACATAGGTCGCAGATAGGTCTACCCAAGAAGACGGCTAGCATGAGGCATTTTGATGGTGAAGGCACGAAGTTTGTCGCAAACATTTGTGCAGAACCGCCTCTTCGGCGACCTAATGTCCACTATCTCTTTGTGACACTTTTAGGATCGAATTTGATATGATATGACAGAACGAGAGACCTGGCAGAGCGACGAGCGAGTTTACGCATATGGTAGGAAAAACGTACGTATTGCCGCAGGCTGTATCATTCATTCTGTGACTAAGAGGCACGAGCACGCTTTGCGTTTGTTTGATCAACAAGTTCATGGTTGTTAAGTGTTTGGTTAATTACCAATTGGGAATTCGTGAAAGAACGTGTTTAAGCCAACGTGGTAAACAGCTCGTAAGCTCAAACATGTTCTTCCACAAATTCTATTAATAAATCAACCAAAGCATGTTGAAACTCATTCATGAACTCGTTAATGAAATGTACACAAAGCGTGCTCGCTACTTCTAGTCAGAGAATGAGTGATACATTATCCCTCCTGTGACTAAAATACTTGAGAGTACGCTTCGCGTAAGTCTGATTAATAAGTGGATAAATCACTATTTGGACATCATGAGAACACGATCGACCATGTTCAACCAACACCATTTTCGAGTATTCTGGTTACAAAAGAGTGACATGTAATATTATAGTTCATAAGCTTTTCTGAACAATTCTTATATGTACATTACATCAGACGAAGTACTTACAGGCCAAATACTGCGCTGCATGTAGATTATCTCTTTTTCGCACAAGAGCAAGTTTGAGAGCACTGCTTACAAGTGATACTTCAGTGTTAGGTTCACCTTGTGCAAGATCAAAACGAGTTTTTTTACCATTTGCTCCAAAACAAGATGTAAATTTCTATGCTGCATTGATGAGGTCATCACGGAGGAACAAGTAACGAAAGTAATTTATACTTATTAGTTTTCGTCATCTTGCACTTTTAGATTTGCGTGGTCGGGTAATGGTCAATTTTTTAAAAAAGCTATCACTTTGTAAGGCTTGTTCATCAAAGTTTGGCAAATTGGAAGTTTTTACAGTTGAGTGCCTTGGTATATAAGTTATTCTAGGCAGTTAAGACAGCACTCCACTGAAAGTTCATGAAGTTTCTTCTGATCTTCTTCCTCACCTTGTACATCTGCAGCAGTTGTGGTGAGTTCCAAATACGGTTTACAACACCAGATTTGTAAATTCCCTATGTTTTGCAGTGCAAGGAAAGCTCGTCCATGCCATCTATAAGACGAGAAAAGTATCACCACCGCGTCGTTACAATCCTAGGCGATTCGTCCCTCGTGGACGGGGCATAAGTCTTTGAGCTCGAGCATGGTTTTTCCCATTTGACATCTTAATTTGGTCATTGGCTTTGAATTTGTTAATAAAACATTAAGCTCAGATCAAATGTACGCAAACAATCTGAAGATTAGCATGGTATCCAGGCAGGGTTTCAGACTTAAAAAAGATGTTCTTGAGTTTCTATTGGCAAAAGTGTCTATCTTGACACTTCTGCCATGAATGTAATTATCCAGCAAGCCCGCAAGCAGGAACAAAATAAGTTCGGAGGACCGTCATTCTTCAAATACACGACATACATATGCGCTCATAAGTCCTGAGTGGAACGTCAAAAATCATCTTGTACAAAACAAATTGGGAGGCTCTGTGAAGCAGGTGCAAAAAAAATTATGAAAAAAGAGTTGCTGCCATGGCCAACGCTACCGGTTCATCTCTAACGGCTCCAACTAAAATTTAGCTGAACTGTATTTCAAAATTAAAAAATCAAAAAGTATCCTTTCTTTATCTCTCAAAATCATATTAGGTTGGTGCAAAAATAATGAGCGTTTTCTAAGGAATTTCTTCAGGACAACTTTTCTCCATCAAACTTCTTTCTTTGTAAAGATTTCAGCACAATGTTAGAAAGCTCTTTTTATGCTCTATCTAATGATGTTTGAAAGGGACTTCTAGCCCACTCTGTTAAGAATTTACAGAGCTTCAAATGATCGCACTCAAAACCAGATTTTCGTTGCATTCATTCTCCAGGCCAGAATTTGAGCGCAAATGGAGATGGTTTATCGAAAATATAGCCTTTATATGTATTGGAAATTGTCTACACTATGCATATTTGAACATATTAGGGTGATCCAAAAGTAATGGGGCACCTAGAGAATAAATGTGGTTTTCTCAATTAGAAAAGCTAATTGAAAGTCCAAGTTTTGGCAGATGTTAGTACATAACAAAAACTTCTGATCGAGGTCCACAGTTGGACACTGTCACGTGGCGTTATTTTTGAAAGCGCTTAAAATTAAAGCTCATCTCTTCAAGTAATTTTGAATTTTGAGCAGCAACGCCACAGTAGAACAAGTGAGCCTACCAAGAATATCTGCGCAGCAGTGGCGTACCGAGGGGGGGGCGGGGGGGCGCGCGCCCCCCCCCCCCCCCCCGAGAATGGGTCGCGAAATTTTTGAAAGTTACTTACATGAGTTATAAAAATGTGCAAAAGACTTATTTATACTTGTAAGTAATTAAAATAATTTTTAAAAATTTTTAAAAATTCAATTTAGCCTTATAAAAAAAATTTTTTCGGGGGCGTGGCTGACGCCACGCCCCCTTTTTCTGAAATTTCGGAGTCCTGAGCCGCCGGAAATTTCAGGAAGCATACCAAAAATTTTTTCGGAGTGCGTGGCTGACGCCACGCACCTTCATCGAAAAATTTTTTTGTCGCGCCCCCCCCCCCGAGCCGAAATCCTGGGTACGCCACTGCTGCGCAGCAATGGGTGAGGGGACTGTCACCACATCCTCGGTGGTCCCAAATGTTCAGAACAGAAGATATAGCATTAAATATCAGGAAACACATTACTTATTCTTTCATCAAGGTAATCAAATAAGCTCAATCTTAACAGTTGCTTTCTGATAGTGCTTTTTACGCCGTATCCATACATATGCAAATTACTTCGACTTTTCTCATTTTCAAAAAATTGTGGGTCAAAAGATGAATTTTAGTCTGAAAATCTGCGCCAAACACCGCACTTTTTCGAATAAAGTGCCTTTTTTGTATGAAATAATGGGCAATTTTTTGAATTTTCAAGTAGTCATTAGAAAGAGCTTGGGAAGCTCTTTCGAATGGTATGCCAAATGTCGAGGGACTATCAGGTGCAGCAGCACAAATTCGGATGGCGTTCAAAAAAGTCTGTCTTACTTCTTTGAAGCGCCGCTCGAAGGAATTTCGGTGAGGTGCTGCAAGGTGCTGTCAAGATAACCTGCGAAGGTCACTTTGTACAAAAGCGTTCAAATTGCTGGTTGTTCGTAGCTAGTCAGAAAGAGATCTTGAAGAATGTTCAAAAAATCAAGGTGCCCCATTACTTTTGGATCACCCTAATATTTTTCGAAGTTATCTAAAGTGAGATATCGGCGGCTTAACAAGAGTAATGGCTGTGGTCATTTTAGTGCCCATAACTTTCTCTTGTAGAATGCAGTCGCTCAAACTTTGCTCATCTCTGTAAGCGTGAGGTTAGAAATCCTATAAGCAGTTTTTGCAAAAACATCCAGCTGTTCAGTACGCAGAAAATGAGAAAATTCTATACTTCGGGGTTTTGAGGCCTATTGAAAAAATGCTGACAAAGTTGATATTTTTGAATTTCGATTTTTCCCTCTTCGCAAATCTTTTTTCTCCAAGCCCTTTCCATGTATATTTGTACTACTGGCTTGCGGCTACAAGATAGGCTGCTTAGAAATTATAATAACAAAGTGTGAAAGGAGTTATGTTTTGTCAAAAACAAGAGTTTAGAAGAAAACTTTTTTTGTTTTTTAGTCCATATTTTTCTACCCATATGAGATATAAGTATAGCTCAATGTGCGCTGTACTGGGAAAGGTTCGCTGCATCTGATGGTCCTTATCACATTTCAAAATGTAGATTTTATGAAAAGTTATAGCAAGTTAAAGTGAAAAACGCTCATTATTTTTGCACCAACCTAATATTGTATCATTAATATGTTATACGTAACATATTCTAGGCATGAAGCGTTTCAGATGTTGGCCAAAATAGCTACACTGTTCACGCTATTGCTCTTCTTAGAACCGTAGTCCATGTTGAGCTAGATATCAACATCTAATTGTAAATGCTCAATTGAAAGTATCTGATCCTTTTCTGAAAAGCTATAAATTTCACTCGATCATTCTACAGTGGAAAATTAGAAACATACAACTGGACTCGTTGAGCCTTTCTTAAGGTCAATTTCAATACAAGGTTATTTCGAAGATACATAGATGTTGCGTCTTTGGTTTTATGCTAAATGACAGTTTCTTGGCTTAGGGCACGTTCGAATGTATTAGAGAATAATTATTGCTCGGAGTTTGCACGTCATATTTATTTAATACTAGCTGGAGTAGCCTATGACACCCGCCGGAGCCCGTAGTGTATGTGTGCCAAGTTTGGTCCCGATCGGTTCAGAAATGGAATTTTCTATTCGGAACATACGTACAGACAGACATACAGACATACAGACAGACATACAAACAGACATTCAGCTTTATATATAAGATCACACTGCGACAATAGCGCAAAAAACGGACATTACTTTTGCAACAACCTTCGTAGATATGGCTTAAAAAGCACTATAATTTACTCAGACACTGGAAGCGGGCGAGCCGCGGCCTTAAAAGGCCTTTTCGGCCCGCCCGCGGCCTTAATTTGGGGGCGTGGCCAGATCGCGGCTGACCCGCGGCCCTAATTTGAAGGCGTGGTCTAAGTACGGCCGACCCGCGGCCGTTGTTCGTTGTGTGTGTGCTAAAAGAAGCAGCTGAAATTTCCATTCTTGGAAGTGCTAGAAGAACGATATGATAAGAGCCAATACAGCCGAGCCGCGGCCCTTTCCCGGCCGAGCCGCGGCCCACTACGGGCGAGCCGCGGCTCATTAACGGCCGAGCCGCGGCTCATTAACGGCCGGCCCGCGGGAGCTGCGATTGCCCGGCCGGAACTGGGCCGCGGCTCGCCCGCTCCCAGTGTCTGAGTAGCAACTCAAAGTCGAAATTCAATTTCCACAGAACCAAGTCCGCGGAGTTTAAGTGGTGTAATAAAGCACAGCGCACTATCTAATGGATGAAAATTACAGGCAGAATTGTAAATTACAATGAAAATCTTCTAAGCTTCAAGCATTAGAATTTTGATTGTACTTGCGCAGAGCCCAGGACCCGGCACGAGGCTGCCAAATGACAAGCTGGAAATCGTTTTTGGCAAAAAGAAGCAAAGGGGAAATCGTTTTTAAGGGGTCTGGGGCGCAGTCCCGGAAAAAATTAGTAGTTCATGCTCTCTGCTTATCTTAACATGTTATGTGCCTCAACAGGCGAACACTGGAGTACGCACGCGTCAAATCGCGCTGTCGCTAATTGCCGCACGCGCGACGTCGCTCAGACGATGCGTTTTGTAACAGCATACATGAGAGTTCTCAATGCATGCATAACTATATGGCACGAAATTTCGTAAGCGAACGTAGAGAGGCTAGTGGAAGCAAAGTATGAAAAACTATGACAAACTTATGTGAATGAAGAGCGTGCTTAACTTATTTCCAAATTAGGTTGTCATTTGGCAACCTAATGACGTTCAGTTCACATAAATTTTCAAAATTTCTACATAAATCTACTTCACACCTGAAGATTAGTATGTATTGACATTTTGGTTTCAAACATTCTCCTCTCCTCATTGCTAGAGCCAAAGATAGCTTCAGCAGTCCATCCTAAGAAAGAAAGCGCGCTCCAATCGATAACGGCGTATCGCTGAGTCCTTTAGTCGGCGTTTATATTAGGTTGTAAAGAAAGTTCCCGGGCACTTGCGAAAACTTTTTTCAAAACGCTGTAACTTCAAGCAGATTGATTCTTTTTTGAAGCTGCAAACTTCATTGCAAAGACAATTTTGTCCACAACGTATATTTGTCTTGCTGGCTTCTCAGCACCTCAGTGCGGTCCACCAGCATGCGCAGAAGGGAAAAAGGTCATCGCGAAAAGTGGCCTATTTGTGCAGGATTATCTCAGACACGATGAAAGCTGGAGAGTCCAGATGCTGTAGTTATATAGAGTTCTGCTGGGGCTGTTATGGGAACCATTCATGTTTTTGAAGGACCACCTGCACAAAAATTTTCCCCGGAAAGTTTGAAAAATCGATCATTTTTTGCCCCTAAAATTGCACCATTTTTCGAGTAAGTGGCTTCGGAGTCTTCTATTCTACACAAAAAGGATCAAACCTTTGATTGCGGCGAATATTGTTGGGGTAATGTCTTACACATCTTTTGGACCCATCGTCCAGGCGTGGCGATTTCTGCAGAAGCGAGGCCAGCTGTGAAAAGAGTTGCAGTCAAAGGCAAGTTCGACAGCTTGTAATCTCTGAGCACAAATCGCAAAACTCGAG